ACACCATTTCAGATGCCTATAAACCATACTCTACATTGTACGGAGTACCCTTATGTCAAGCAAATATCAGACCCTTCCGATCCAAATACTTAGGTTGGAGTATCTCAAGTATTTCATTTATATCCGATGTGAAAAATTAAGAGTTATATGTAAATTTTAATGCTGAACATTTTTAATTAGAAGTCGGAAGTTGGCTAGCATAATAAAATTTGGCTCTATTTAAGAATTTTTCCTTTTTTTGCTTTTTTCGCTGTTTGTTTTTGTTACACAAGATCCTGAGGTTTTATTGGTTCCGGACCAGAAATTTCAAAGTCGGAGGTACCCCGTTGTACATTGTACAAACTCCGTTCCTGGTAAATGATTGCAATCGATAATAATTACCCCTGCAGCTACTAATCGATTTTTATCCTATTTAAATTTTCCTGACGTAAATATTTATAAACACTCTACACTTAATTGACAAAGTGAATTACTACATAAATTTATCGTAATTTTTAGATTTTACGATGTCATCCAAAGTCGATTATAAGATAAACGGTATTATTTGATTTTTCCTTTTAAGACTGTATGTGGTATGAAATTTTAATAGAATTTTACAAATTACTAAATCGATCTAGTACAGTAGAATAGTGTTTAGGAAATCGCAATTTTAATGCCTACATAATGTTTTGAAGAGTGATCACATCATATCATTTATGAGATTAAAAGCCTTATTTTTATCTTTTTTGACATAATCCTAAATAAATAGTAAGATGCCTTCAAACATGTTGCTAGAAATTTGATTTCATCATCTTGACTAGAAGTAAGTTTTGAAAAATATATGCTTAAAGTAGATTATAGAAATATTTAATAGCTCTTAAAATGAATAAATTTATTAAAAAAATTTTTAAACAAAAATAAAACCAATAAAAATATTTTCAAAAAATCATCTATTACCACAAAAACAAAAACCACTTCGACATTGTTTTATAGTACTAAAACCAACACAAAAACTTTGACATTGTGAATAGGAATTCATGTTAGTAGTTTTTCTATATTTTGAAGTAGCACAAAAACATCCACAATTTGGAACGTAATTATAAGAATTATAACCAGAACACCAATTTTGACAACTTGATGAACCTATGCTAGAATCCCATTTCCAGGTTTTAGCAGTAGAGAGACCAATTGAAAAAAGAATAAAGACAATAGTGTAGAAAATTAATTTCGATTTTATCATCCTAAAATATTAATGAAAATTAATTTTATTAAATAAAATTTTTTTATATAAAAAT